TATATATATATATATATATATATATATATATATACTTTTCATCGTTAACAGTAGTCTTAAACGTTGTGATTTGGTCCAGTTTTATGATGTTTTTTATGTCACTATGACCGGTGGATTTGGTGATCATTTTACGGCAGTTTTCTTCAGTGAAAATTACATCATTCTTCGTCGCATCTAGGTGATTCGATTCTACTTCGAGATCACTTGAGATAGTCTTTGTAAATGATACTTTATCGATACTAGCTTCGAAGATTTTCATTGGATTTTCGATTGTCTGAGTTTGTTGGACTTCGATAACATCAGAGGCTTTTTGGACAACGCCACCAACAACACCAACGAAAGCCAGATTTTCATTGAGTTCTGTTACATACAAATCGGAGAACTTATCACAGCATCTCGTGTCCACGTTTTCAGCCTTCTCCGATTTAGTTAATTTGCTGATAATATTGTAGCTTTCGTTTCCATCGTCAAACGATGCCATTGGACATTGTTCACACTTTTCTGCTAATTTTGATACCAAATAATTTTTTTCATTCAACAACTCTTTGTTTTTTCTTTTCAGTGACTCAATTTCTTTGATAAACTTGTCCAATGTATATTGATAATGGTGATAAAAATTTGGTTGAACAATTTTCGATGAATTATCTAAAAGAACACGTTTGTGTGTTATTGTTTTACGTTACAATGTACATTGACTTACAGATTTCGATATATTATTAACTAAATCTATAATTTTGTTACATACCTCCATATTCTGTTACTCTATTTTGGAGCTGCTCATATTTTTTCCTCAAATTTGAGAACTCGTTGTCCTTCAACTGAAGTTCCATTTGAAAATTAGCTGCAAAAGAATATTACACTGTTATAGTATATTAGAAATATATATTACTTCTGTAGTGTTCAGAGCTTGTAATAATCAGATACTTTTCATTTCGCTAATTTTTGATAATAATTGGTTAATAGTCGCCCCCTGAACCTCGATTTGCAATGCAAGCTGAGCCATAATTGTATTATGATTCGGAATCATTGCATCCGGTTTCATCGATTGTGATTTTTCTACGTTGTTCATACATCTATCATCTTCTTCTACACAGCTAACAGACCGAATGTAATTATTACTCATCATGAAATATATTAACCTATAAATTATAAAGTATATTAATTATTTATATAAGTATAGTTGCTTTAAGATTATAATAATAATAAGAAATCAAACTGATTATGTATTATATTATGGTATGAAATTTTAAAGCAAGAAACCGTAGTCTTAAATTCCAAACGAAATTCAATATAGATCATAACAAACTAATATTGTTTACTAAACAACATTTATAAATTAATTAATTAGACATTGTTATATCCAAATTGAACGTATTTCATTTGAACCAGCTAAAAATTAATTTTAATTTGATATTTTCCAAGCATAAAACCACGAAATATCATGACAATACTTACTTCTTATATTTTACAACTAGTCATAACTAAAAAGTAAAATTTTTTCAATTAACTCCTTGACCACAAATAAAGATTTTGTTATTTAAAAAGGAAAATTGTAAGTACTTTGCTTGCGTGCATTAAAAATGTTTACAATTTCTTAAAATTTGAGTTTATAGATAAATTATCAATCAATATACTGAACAAAAGAAGTCATTAAAAATGAATAATTCAATTTAAAATTTTAAGTGGAACACGCTATACCTTGTAATTTTTTATTTAAAATTAAAATACCAAAACTGTGTCAAGATAATTCAATACAACAATAGTAAATGTTTTATTAATTAGGTAAAAAGAACTATAATATGATAGTTCGGATTTTATAGAACATGTTTGAAGAAAAATTGTATTTGTTTATATTAGTTTAAATTTAAATAATTGGTGGCGTTGAGTCATAAATGATTATTAATTTAATACGTTAGAAAAATACCAATCGTCTAAAAGTTAATACTTGTGTCGTATATACTATAATTTATTTTTAAGTCGGTAACTGAAATTTAATGTAAATTTTATATAAATTAGTTAAATCTTAATCAGTGGCGTATAATAGCGTAATAGCTAAGAATATTATAGGCGTATGAAAATAATTTAGAAACCACACATTCTAATACATTCATATAGTCATATACATAATACAGCATATGGAAACTAAATTTTTATCATATCGTACGAGGTAATCCATAATAGTTTCAGAATTTGATTCATGAATCTCATTCATTCAGAAGCCAGTTGTAATGGACATTTTTAAATTTTCTAAAAACCAATAATCAATACAAATAAATAAATTAGTCATTATTTATTTGATATAATTTTATAATTATTGTGCTATTATTATTAGTAAAATTAAAACTATGATTATTTATTATTAATATCATTAGTAGTTGTTAATTATTTGTATAACTATTTACCGTTTAATATTTCAAATCCTATGATCATGATTTCCACGAAAAAAATCTAAGATATTTTAAAACTGATATTAATCTAATTTTCATTATGCAAATGTACTGTAACGGTTATAGTTAAAATGTGTAAGCATTGTTTATATCATAATATATACTATATTATATGCACTTGTGCAACGCGGTCGTATAACTTACCAGCCAAATTTTATAGCTTATTGCAGGTGCGTGGATCTGAAGAATCGTTTACGCACATAATTACGCTAAAACAAAATAATTACGCATCAATTTCTGATAAACATTGAAAACATTATAGTTTATTCGTTTTCATAAATTAAGTGTTGATTTTACCGTGTACTTGTTTAGACCATAATTATTGATGATTGAAAAAATTACAATTTACTATAAAAGTACATACATAAACGTATGAATGTACTAATGACGTTTTATTATGTATTGGTAGCGCTAATGTGTTCGGTTATACGTTAGACGCTTGGAATGCATTACCTCTTAATAATTAGTGCAACAAAAACTGGACTTATTAGTTAGTTTAGTATACATAGGTGTCTGTTGCACGGATTTCAAACGAAAAAGCGCGTCGAACGAGAACAATTAATGGATAGAGTTGAAAATTATGTTTCATAAGAACTGAAACAATTCGTATGGACTTTATAAAAGTCTGATTTTGGTCCTGAAGTCGTAATGTTTAGAATACATTTTTTTCACCTAACAATTATTATACACACAAAGTTATAACAACCATGTAGAAATTATGCAGGTAATTACTTGGATTTCGATTGGTATCTGAAGGTCTTTGTAAACCCTAACGGCTGGATATTGACATCGAACGGACAACTATTTCTTGGAATAATCGCTAATAATAATCGATATTCGGACAAGGACGTTTTTAAAATCGAAAATGTCTGCCAAGCCGTAAAATCGTATGCCCAATACGATGACTTTGAGTGGACATTATTAATATATGGCACGTGCTAGCTGCCTATTACAGCTGGCATGTATTGAAATTTACGTACGTTAGGTTAGGGGGTAAAGTAATCTTTTAAAATGTATGTGTCGTGAATGTATATTTCAGATCGATTTGTTAATTTGTACCCTTTTACCTTCAAGAAATGGGATTTAACGATAAATTAAAACATCTCTATGCCAGCCACCATGTAAGATACCATAAAATAAGATAAATGTTTACAATGGTAATTATGAATAAACTTAATATACAAATATTATATTATCATATTGTTTTTTTTTGTTACAAAGAATATATTTATAATCAGTTTTCAGTTCTAATGAGTGGTCTCTTGAAATAGCCTGAACCACAGTTCTTTAACTGTGGATCCGCCCCCGGTTGGGCCCTTGTCTTAAGAATAAATCTCAGAGCCTCCGGTGATTATTGGGTATCCGGCTGGGAAACCAGTAAGGCTAAATGACGCCCCAGGCCAAAATGCCAACTGACCTTTTTTCATACAACTTGTAATATCATATTACTTAGAAAAAAATGTTGTTCGTTGACAGAAATACAGAAAAATTATATAATATGCTCAACTTGTAATATTTTGTTATCGTCTAGTTTTTTAATCACAAGTCATAATGGCTTGACGCGATCCCGATTAAATAATAAGAACTTCTATGCTAAACCCTAGTAAATATACTTAAAATATATTAATTTAATACATAGTTAAACTAAATGACTATTATAATTATCAATATTTTAATACAAAATTATAGGTATTTTATATAAAAAAAAAAATATAAATATTACTAATACATGTGCAAAATTGTAAAAATTAATTTTGGCGCCCTATGCGACCGCCTGAGACGCCTTACCTTCACGCCGGCTGTAATGTATTTTGTAAAATGGCTTTTTCATGTGAATAGCGTAGCAAAATATTTTCAACAAATAGTCTATAAAATAATATAAGAAAAATATTGATAAAATAAAAAAATGTTAATGGTGAAAAGTCATGTTTTCCAAAATGCAATACTTAAAATAGTTTTTTTTAAAAAAAAAAATATATAGAATATTATATATATATATATATTATATTATATATAGAATTCTGAACATGGGATGTCCACATAGGCGAAATTAGGGGGGGCTGGAGGGGCTAAGGCCCCTCAAAAACATTCAAAGCCCCCGAAAAAACATACAGAACTTTATATTATTATATTGATAAATAAAAAAAAAAATATGTGATTACTACTGAAAAAACGAATAAAATACATTTTTGTTATTCTTTTTTTAGTAACAATATTATAATCATGGTCTTAAATAATATGTCTATTATTTCTAGAGTCTAGACCGTGTTTATTATAGCGCACCTCAGAATATAATTATGTTTTGAAAAATATGATAAAAGCAGTTCCTAACTATTTAACCATCAAAGAAATTATACCTAAAGATACGTTTCCAAATCTTTTTAAAATGATTTAATTGGCTATCACTCTTCCGGTCAGTTCGGCTACTTGCGAACGGTCATTTTCTGCAATAAGAATTAATAATTATCTCAGGTCTACTATGTCACAGGAACAGTTTTCAAAATTTGCAATACTTAATAATGAGAGAGATATTATTGTTGACAACAAAATTATTTTAAATACATTTGCTAAAAAAAAATAGAATAAGAATATAACTGTAAAAAACTATATTAAATGTGTTATCTATACTTAAAAACGAATTATTGTTTTATTATTTATTTTTAAATTTTACTTGCCTTTCAATAAACACATTTTTTATAGAGGGTAAAGGGTGGAAAAAAGCTTCAGAGAGGCAGTGATTGAAAAATTTATGTGAGGGGCTGGAGCCCCCCAATTTTTTTACTCTAATTGCGCCTATGGATGTCCATCAAAATATGGAAATTATATAATTTAATAATGTAACAAATATGTACTAACTTTGACAAGTTTTTCACAGCAATATAAATTGTTTAAGTTATATATACTTACAATAATATTCAGATATAATAATTGTTAGTATATTAAATAATGACCTATATTAGGTTTAATATTATCTATTTATTAGACAAAATAAATAATTAATGTTTATAGAATTTTTGAACTAAAAAATTATGTATAAATTAAATTAAGAATTAGAATTAGAAAGTTAAAAATGTAGTTAATACAGGAAAATATTTGTGCAGAGGGCAGTAAAAGTTATAATTGATGTTGTCGTTCAAGTGGATATAAAGAAAAGGAAAAAAGTCGACACACCGACTTTATTAGATAATAAATGTGTACGCATACAATAAGCGGTACATTTCTGGATCTAACCATTCAGGGGTGGCAAACTTCTATAGACTCGTGAGTTTTTTCTAGATTAGATTAGATTAGACCACGATAGATTAAAAAAAAATATGGTTATCATTAAATTTTTTATATATGCATTTTATAAATTCTACACCAATACATAATTTCAAAAATATTTAAATTTATGAAAATATAATAGCAACATTTTTAAAGTTGGAAGGTTAGGTAAACAATTCTGTTTTAAATGATAAATCTTATTAATATTTACAATAACGGAACAAAAATGTAATTAACTAACCATATAATCAAAATATCTGTTTTTTTTTTTTTTAATAAAATTTAAAAATCACACTTACAATAATGAACAATAATAGATAATTGATGTTACATGATTTACACAAATAAAAATTAAATTGTGTAATATTTATGATAGATAACGTAGATCAAAATATTAGACTTTATTTCAAAATTAGTATTTTATAGTTACTATAATCATAATTATTACAAGTTCTATAACTGTTATGATAATTATTATTATAACAACAAATATTTTACTCATGACATATATCAGATGTATGAAATAAAAATTGTACAATAATTTTTATTTCATACAACTGAAAAGTGTATTAAGTAGTTGAAGCTAATAAATATAAAAAATACATGTTAATATAGCAGTGAAAATTGTATCATTAAAACAGACATTCAAATAATTTTAATCTTCAAATACAGGTGGTATCAAATTTTTAAAATTATAATTATTATTATTCAACTTGTGCTAAATACATTTAATGTTATGCTATAATAAAAACAGAAAAAAAAAATCATAAATTTCTTAATAATTCAACAGTATCATAAATAAATCTACTCCATAAAATTAACAATTTAGTTTTTAAAACAAATATTTGGCAAAAAAAGTATTTCTATCAGTCCCTGGTTTCCAGTCGATATATTCATATTTAACTTCCATAATAATTTTCACTGTGATAATAGTATACAAATAATAAATAATTACACATTTGTGAATTAATTTTAGTTTTGATTTAAATTCGTAATGGCCAGCAGTGCCTGAAAAAAAGTATACATACACATTATAATACACAAATGACTATAGCATATAAGTATAATATATATATTAATGTTAAAAAATTAGTACTTAATTGTTTTTTGTTAAATAAATACAAATAATTTATTTATTAGTAGTATTATGGTTTAAAATATTTTTCGAATCAATGTTGACATTACAGTAGATGCAATACTACAATCTTCAATAATACATTTTTCATGATGTAACTATAAAGAGTATAATAAACATAAAATAATCATGCAACATTGTTAAAACTTTAAAATTATTTCATATTTTTAGATCTTAAAATTAAAATTCTTCAATAAGAATTAAAATATTGGATCTCTAATGATTAATGATTATATTTAAGATTTGAAAAAATAATTTAGCAGAATTCTTAATTTGATTTTTAATGATCTAAAAATATAATTAATTTATGAACTATGCTAAGTACATAAAATAAAAAATACTTGTAAAAGTTAATAAAGTAATATGTTAATTATACATAGAATGTACTATAATGTAGTTAAGTTACACTACAATCAACTCTTTTAGTGAAATTTGTAAACTTCATGAAAAAAAAAAATGTTTATTAATTTACTTATTTTAAATATGTATATTTACTAATTAACAGTATAAGACTTTACATTTTACATATTTCCATATTCGTTATTTTAATTAATTGGTTTTAGAAATATTAAATCCAATTATTTTTTACCCACATATCATTTTACATTTAGAACTTTTTAATAAGTGTATTGTGGCTTCCACTTATATGAATAAAACATAATGTATAGTTCATTATTCTTACAGTATTTTGACCATATTTTTAAAAAAATTTTTCCACCTCCGAGCAGAAGAAAATGTAAGTCTTATTTAGTTAAGGTTAAATCAGATATATCAAACTATAACATTAAAAATCAAATAACTATAACATTCAATATTTAATAGAACGTAAGATGGTTATTATGTTATTAAATTTAAATAAAACAATAGTTAACCATTACTTAGTAATTACACCAATTATATTAATATTCAAATTAAATGAATTTTCATGCTGGTTAATAAATTAAAGCAATGCAATGAGTAAAATAAATAATAATAATTTATTTATAAAATAATAATCAAATATGAACTTAAAGCTTATAAAATTAATAAAGTATAATATAAATTAGTTTGAAACTGTAGTACAATTTATGCAGTATATTGCTTTTCATATTGAATTACCTCAAGAATAGAAGCAACACTCCAGGCTTGAGTAGGACACGATCCAGCACAAAATGCTCCATCTTTATTAGTTAATTCAGGTAAACCTCTCCAAATAGATGTTTTAATATGCTCGTAATGTTTAGATAAAATACCTTGGATTTCCGATGAAGTTTCTTTTTTATTTGAAGAAAATATTAATTTAGCCCTTAAAAAGAAACCTACAGGCCATAACCATTCCTACAAAATATTTGAAATTTTAATAACTAATAATTACTATATAATAAGATAACTGTTAACTCTTACTGGTCCTTGGTGATAATTGAATCCATTGGCTACTTTTGAATCTGTAGTATCATTATCGTTATTGTAAAAGCCATCATATGCCCAATCACATGGATCAAGTGTTTTCATACCAAGTGGCCCAAGAAGTACATCAGACACGGTTTGTAATGCTATTCTAGCGTTATCTGGGCTAAATAACTCTGGAGCCTGATATATATATATATATATATATATATATATATATATATATATAATAAATGTTTAATGAATAAATAAATAATACGATAAAGTTGTTGCTAATGCCATTCAACTTACCACTACCATTGCTACAGGATAATTGCATCGCAGTTGATAGTCTCCCCATTTATTTGTAGCACCAACTGTATCCTTATAAATACCTCTGCGATAAATAAGTTCTGGGTGAGGTTCAATTTGGTTACGAGAACTTTTGTCCACTGGTATCCAAAAGTAAGCTTCAAAATTTGTTTGAATCTTTTTGTTCCATTCTTCATATGTCCATTCAGTTACAGATCCTGAAATAAATAAATAATATTGACTTTAGCTAAATTTATTGAAATTTGGTTCAAGTAGCATACCGTCTTTATTATTACGCTTGACCCCTGAATACTTAAACTGATTAGTTTTATTCAATTTAGCTAACCATCCAATAACTGATTTTGATAATGCAACCAACTCTATAGCTGATCCATCACGAGGAGTAGCTGGTCGTCCTCTGTTACCAGCTTTATCTGAAGAGCCCATTTTATCCATCCATGTACCACAATTCCATTCATTACCACCAAAAACAAAGCCTGTTAAAGGTTGCACTCCAATTTGATTGTCAAAGCCTGGACTTTTCATGTGTGCGTCAATTGCAATTCCAGCATTACGCTCACGGAAGCATAGACCTTGAAAATGTATTGACATAACTTCTTGAATAACTTCATACAGTGGTTGTTCCTGATAAAATAATTCAAATAAAATATACATAAAATATACTGAAACCTAAACCTTACCACTGATGTTGGTTTAGAATCATCAGTTGGAAAAATTCTATTAACTGGATCATCCAAAATACTTATGCCTCCAGGAACCATTACAACATACTGCTGAATTATATACAACCACCACCATACAGCGTCACGGCAATTATATCGGGGGTTTTGGCCTCCATCTAACAAATTAGGTATAAGACCATGTCTTAAACAACCTCCAAAAGCTAAAATGATGAATCTAAAAATATATAACATTAAATTAAAATAGATTTTTAATAAATAATTAACTGAATACAATGTTTTACTTGGCATCTTCATATCTTCCAACTAGCAACAGTAATCCTCTCAAAGAAATAAAGGTGTCTCTGCCCCAATTCCGCATGTAGCCACTAGAAAAATGAGGCAATCCAGCTGCAAGTGATACACATTCTGGTATATTTTTGCCATTGAGTCCAATTTGTGTTCTGAGTAAAGGTGCTAAAAGATTTGGCGATAAAGTTGGAAGTGGACTAGACTTTACTATTCCTGCAAATTGTATTGAAGCAAGAGCTAAACTCTTACAAAATGTAGAACCATTTTTGATATCTCCAGGCATCAATGACCATGTTCGATTCAATAAAGCATTATATATTTTTCTGAGGGAAAATTCAAAAAATGATGGAACCAAATATGATGGCAAATTTCTTATGGGTTGCAAGTATCGTTCTAAAAAGTCTCCAAATTGATATAATGAGCTATTTTCAAATTCTTTACATTTTAAACGTCCAACTATATAATCCAAAATCCAAAAACCATTACGAAGATTGGAACATAAAGGATGGCCAAGATCATTATTTAAAACAATATTATCTAAAACTGACATGAATCCTTGTAGCCCGCAATACACCAGTTTACCATATCCTGGTACATCATACACCTTTCCTTCATCTTCTTCAGCACATCTAAACAAAATATGATTCATGTCCATTAAGGTTAAACGACTCACTGCTTGTACTAAATTAATATCGGCTAGTAAATGGTTAACAGCTAATTTTGTTTTTTCTATTGCTGAAATGCTGACTGCTACTACACAACCCGGCTTAAAATTTGAAGTGAAATTTAATCTTATAGATTTATCATCTGAAGGTATTATTTCTAACATAGCACATTCTTTAGGACTAATATTTTGCTTTAAATTTAATTTAAAATTTTTAAGCCCATTGATCTTATTTACATCTTTAACAAATTCTTTTTCGATGCCTTTTAACCTGAAATAGTAATGATATAAAATTATTTCAAAATGCTTTAAACTAAATTATTATAATAATAAAGCAATTCACTTGAGTTCCAATGAAGCTTCAATAAGTATTTCTTCTATTTTTCCATTAACAGTAATGCCTTTTCCTAATCCATTTTTGTTGGATGGTGTTGAAAAGGAAGTGTAAGACATAAGTACAACTTTATCATGTGTTTTGCCATTATGACGTGTAACACAAACAATATCAGAATCAATTTGATCTACATACACTTGATCAAATCCACGTTTTCCGAGATCATAATGCAGCTCATTCAATGCTTTTTTACCTGCTACTATTCCTGTTTCAATATTGATTTCCTCATCTGACCAATTCATATATTGCCTTTCTTCATCAACTACATGAATCTGAAAATAAGGCAGTCATGAGAGATGTAATAATAATTTTTTAAATTTAATTTAGCTTACATGATGTGGAACTAATATATCATAGCCCATATTACTTCCACTTGCACAACATGCTATTGAAACTAAAGCTGCACTTGGAAGTAAATCATATACTGAACGTTTTTCAATCGAAGATGGATTATCGTGAGTTTGATCCATGAAAAGAGCATGTGCTATTGTAGGACGTAAAGGTTGTTCTAGTGGTTTGATAAATGCACCCACAGGGTCTCCGCCATAACGGTAAACCAAACGTCCTAGTTCATGTGAGTCCCAAGCAGACATAGCTTCTAAAAATTAAAGCACACAACATTTTTTACTTATTATGATTAACATTTTTAAATGTATAGAGCATTCAGTACTAATTTTATTAGTAATAATTAGGTTTAGAGACTTCTATCATTTGCATATTTTTTTTTTGAAAGACTAATAAAATAAGTCAAATAGAAGTATTATTCATGATGTAAAGAATCTCAATCATAAATTTTATTTGGCATATATTAAAAGTTTAAATTTTTAGAGTATATTTTAGCGGTATTTTGCTTTTAAGTGCTATAAAAGGTTATATTATATCATACCTACTCATATATCTTAGTGTATGCCACTTATTAATTTTTTTTTTATTACCTGAAGATCTAAAAAATGGTGATCTGGTATTTTGTTAAAATGCACCAATTTTTTCTGTTGATGAGGATCGAAGCTTTTCAAAATATAAAAATTTTCTTTCAAATAACCACTACAGATTTATATTTGAAAACATAAAATGTCTAATAGTATAAGTCTATTTTTCAGTAAAATTGAAAACATTTAGAGTATATTTAAAGTATATTTATTTGATTCTTTTTAAAGCATATTTGCATATTTTCTAGAGAAGTCCTTAAGCCTAATAATAATTAATAGTTCAGAAATTTTGAATTAACTATGTTAAACATCTAGTTTTTAAGTAATTGATATAGCAGTTGTGGATGATTTAAATTCAAGCCTAGCTTTGATAGTAACTAGTACTTTGTTCAAGAATTTATCAAAGATATTAAACCATTAATAAAATATAATATAAAATGTTCCTTGCCTCGAATAAGTGATGTAATTCCTAGTCTATTAACAAATATATTGTCAGTGGCATCTGAATTTGTAAATAATTCGGCAACAACATACAAATCTGGTCTAATTTTTCGAGCAGCATCAAGCAAATACTAAATTAACAAAGTATCAAAAATAAGATAAAATAAAATAAAATATGTTTTTCTTCTTCTATAATATAGATTTAAATGCTAGAAAATAATTCATCAATTTACTTCAGCTACATGTAATGGTGTTGAGTGGCAATTATCTAATCTGACACCATGAAACATTGTAACAGTTTGTTCCACATAACGTCGCATATGATTCCAAAGAAAAGGGCAATCTTTGGGTTCATCACCATATCTAAAACCAACCAATTATCCGGTATAAAAATAAATTACAATTATCGCAGTATAATATACATGGAATATAATTATTGACATATTCAAAAAAATTATGATTCACAGTATATTGATATACAATATTTACATTAAAATTACTTATATTTTAATACCGAAATGATTAATAATTATTTGATGAATTTAAATACAATAAAATGTAAATTACCTCAATTTGACACTATCTCCCCAAGCAATTAATTCTCTGCGTAAATAAGTATTGGAGTCAGGCCCAGCAAAATTTTTAAGTGGATCACCACCCATCACCCATCCATTATGAGCCATTACATATTGTCCATTGGGAGAATATAATACCTCATCAGCACTGTGACCCTCATAGTCTTTAAAATATCTGAACATAAACATTAAAAATTAAAAACACACAAATTAAATTCATAACTACAGTAAAACTATTTTTAAGACGGTCTTTTAGGGACCACCTCACTAGAATGCCTTAAGTGGGAAAGCATTTTATGCGGGAATTGAAAAAAAAATGAAGTGATTCAAATAAAAAGTTCATTTTTTTTAACTATAAATTAATATATTATAATAAATTATAATTCCATACATTTTTTGCTACTGTTATTAAAAAATAAATTCTCACATTTATCAATATACATATGTATTTTTTATTACTATTATTTTTTCTATTTTATAACATTAAAAATAATTATCTATTTTGGTTTGCTGAAGATTAGCCTTATAGAATAAGACTGATTGTATTTATTTAGTAGTATTTAATTTTTACCTTGGTACTAGAGGATTAGTGATGGAAACACTGGTTAGCTTAGGACCATCTGGTTGGACTCTAAAATATCTAATTCCAGCAATACAATTGTCTATTGCAGCCACCAAATGCCCTTGAATTTCATCAAATACTGTTTTGTTCAAAGTTTCTAATTTAAGTTTTAATTCAAAACTACAGCGTTGAAGTCTAGTATCTTCATCAAAACAATCACTTCTAAAATATTTATTTTAAAAATAGTTATAATAAAATAAAATAAATATGTATTATTCAGTTAAACATACCTATAAATGTTGTATATTTTCAATGCTTTATTCATATCAATTGTAGCTCCTAAACGGCGGTACTCTTGGTCCGGTATAAGTGTTATTTCTTCATTAATTTCTGATTTATTAGCTAATGGAGGAGGGCCAGTACGAACTCTATTTTGAAATTCATTTACAATTTTGTCAACATCTAATTGAAACAGTTCATGGATTTTTGCCCTTGGTAATAAAACTGTTAATAATGCATGTCTTATTGACTGTAAAAATGAATAAAGTATAAAATCAAAACAGTTATCTTAAAAAAAAACAAATAAATAATCTGAATTATTGTAAATGGATATCATAGTTTTATCTATATAGGAGAGATGATTAAAAAATGTAAATATAAACTTAAGTTAATTTAAATACATATTTCAAATTTAAAAATACAAATTGAGCCTAAAACTAATTAATATAAATGTTTCTACAATATCTAATATTTTATTTATCTATTGTCACATTTATATGTAAGTAAGAACAATCAAATAGAATTATTAACTAATTAAACAAATTTGAAATACTCGCCCCAAGATGTTCTTCATTATCCACGATGACAGGTACTCCAGAGTATTCCCACATACCTTTAGAAACTTCAACAGTAAAATTATACAAAATATAATCTAATAAGTATGCTGGTCTTAAATATGGACAATTAACTAAATTATATGTGCTTTCAGGATGTTTCATTAGCCAGGGACTCTCATTGGCTGTATGATTTAAAACTATATCACATAAACTCAATACCTAAGATGAAATATTAAATCTTGATTATATGTATGTTAAACAATATATGTTAAATATAACTTAAATATTACATTCCATTCTTTTTCAATTTCTTCGGTCAAAGTCCTAATATCATCAAATGTAACTACATGTTTATTATCATTGAAAGATGGATTCAAAGCCAATTGATTTTGCAAACTGTATGATGATCTTGAACCTCCAAGTTCCTATAAATAATAGAAATATCTAAATATTAAATCATTTTTATACTATATATTATTAATTATTATTGTTTACCTAGTAAATTGCCTTCATGCTTTATTAATATGGTTACTAATACTAATAAAGCAATATTAGTAAACTAACCTACCCTGGTTTAGCAAACAATGATGTTTCATTATTAACATTTTAAACATATCTTACCTAATTATACATTTTTAAACAATTAGATAATTTACTAGATATAAGACTTATTTTAAATAAATGTTGAATACCTAGCATAAAAAAAATCCATAATAACAAGAGTATACAACTAATTTATTAGCGTTTATAACAGTTTAATACTGTTAATTTTATAATTACCTATTATTACCTAAAGAAAACTGATTCAAATTTATTTTTAAGTTCTGTTTATTTATTATTTATCATTAGGATAAAGTTTCAAATAAGTAATTAATAAATAACTTATATAATAACTTATTGATATATATAATTGAAATATTTAATTATAACTAAAATAAATAAAAATTTAAGAAAATTAGTAATTACTATAAAAAAAATAATGCAACTGATTGAATTTAATAAGCATTGGACAGAAACATAAATGAACTTAACAGATATTGGAAAATTATTAAAATTATTTCAAATTGTACTTGAATAGGTGTAAAATGAATCATGTTGTATCCAGATTCTTTTGCAACGCGCAACTTTGATTTCCACGAAGACAACGGTCCCAAACATTTTGCCAAAACAGAAACAGTTTGCAAAGATTCCAGTGGAATTTCTTTACCTTCAGCTACCAAATTTGGATCAACACATATATAACCACTTCCTTTCCTTAAAAATAAATATATATTTTTGAATCAAGTACTTAAAACTCTTAACTAATACAATAAGTTTACTTTTGTCCTTTAAATTCATAGTAATAATGAAAGGAACCAGCTTCATTCATCTGAAGAAGACATGATAGTGAAGAATCATCATTAGTTATATCATCACTAGACCATTCTCTAATCCAATCCAGACGACAATAAGTTTTTCTATCAAACTTACACCCTTCTAACGGTATATTAGTATATAGATCAATGTCATTTCCAAAAAGTGATGGTCCCACTCGAAACTCTAAGTACCACCCTAAAAAAGTTAAAAATTATGTAACAAAAGATACAAAACATTAGATGAGTATATATTTATATTTTACCTTTTTTTAGACGATACAAAGTATTATCTTGAAAGTAACCGTCTTCTAACGTTAGAACACGTACTTGATGATTATTAGGTGGTTTGACATCCATAGCTCTATCCCTGTAAAATAATTTAGTAAATCCAAATGTGAGAAGATCAGATAGAGATTGAATTGACAAGAAAAAAAATGTAAAAATCATGAAAACAATTAAAGACAAAATTAGAACAATCATAATTTTGCCAAGGGGAATAATTAATTATTAACATTATAAATAACACACAATCACATTTTAAAAACAACAATCTAATCTGATTGACCTTTAAACATAAAACCAACAACGAATATTTCGATGGCCGATAAAACACAAGTCATTGGTGAATTTAAACAAATCAAAACTCATTATGTGAACCTCAATCTTACAAGTGAGTAGAAATGTATTCATAGGTGCAAAAATAATTTATAAATCACATTGAAGACTAGACTTATTGCTGTGGTACAGTCACATAATTGCTTACACTTAACGCACAATATACACACACTTTTACACAGCTAAAAATTAATTTGGTTTTTTTTAACATATATTGAATGAATAATTGTATACACTGGTTGGTATATTGTAGAGTTATTAAAAATGCACGTCAAAAGTATAAAAACATAAAATAAGGTGACTAACTAGTTTCGCCTATTATTGGCACACATTTTTAATACATCTACAATATGATATTGTACTTTGTACAAGTTTTATCTTTTATATTATTATTAACCGCTGAAATAATTCAACAATTGGAGACAGGTAAAACGGGCAGTTCGTTGACATGTAATTCACCGATTTGAACAACAGGACGACGTTCGTTGCTTAGAAAGTTGAAAAAACCCAACTAAGACCCAAGAGCGTGATGATTATTTTCGTTTTGAAGCTTCCCGTAAACGCGAGCATACGAGAAAACCAGAATCGGAAGTATGGAAAAAAAATAATCTATAAAACCGATAGTTAAACAGTGTAGTGGGCCGTTCTGCAAGAGGACGACGCAATACACCGTTGACGAATAAATACTTGAACGGTTCACGTCTGTGATGTAGAGTCGTTGGAAGGTGTTTAAATGACAAAACACGATGGTTTAAAGTTATACAGATATGTATAATAATGAATAAAATATATATAATATGTGGTTAATACAAATAAGATAGTATTTTATAATTGAAAGTGTGAGGAAAGAGTAATTAAGCTCTGTTCGAGAATAATAAAAATTGACTCACAGAGCTGGCGGCGATGTGAGGCGCGCGGGCTTCACGACCAGATAAGCGTCGGTGCAGTAAGCGGAGTAATTAGTTAACACTAGTTTAATTCATTCTACTATTCTAAATGTATGGGTAAATGGATACCGTATTTATAGGCAGCCATTTAGGATAAAAGTAAGGTCGATGGGGATTCTGCCAGATGTGAACAAGGAAGCTTGTTTCTGTGATATTGAAAATAGGCTCTGTTCCGTGGGAACTGCATATCTATACGAGTAAGTATTGATATTGGTTTCCGTTTCGGTTTTGCCACATTAGTATCAATACATGATATAATGTTAGCGGATGTTAGCTACCCGGTGGTTTACTACAACAGCAAGTTAAGACTGTGGCGGATTTTGTTCTTTCAAGTGACCAAATTCGACGTGGAAAACTTACTCTTATAATACTGGAACGGCAACAAGAGTGAAAAACATTTGAAAACAACGAATAATATTATATACAAAATTATAATAATAATGACAGGTAAAAGCGTGCACACGTATAAATAATAATATTTCGTACGCTGCGTCGTAAAAGTCGAGCTAATGCAACTGATAACCTTTAAACGAAAACAACACGTAAACTGGTATTTGGCCTCTCGAGTGCTATTTATAATCCACTGCCGACAACCGTTTGGTGATAACGTATGCCGTTTATCGTTCGCGACGTGTATAACTATTTTTTACTATTTCAACATGTGTCCGATAGACAGTTACGGTGCGTGTGCAGTGGCCAGGAAGTAACAACGAGGGGTCATAGCCCCCCCCCATAAATATTTCCATAGACCTCCCAGATTAAAAATAATGAATCTCAGAATTTTGTGTTTGAGATTGTGATGAAATCTAACCATATTTGTCTATATTCTCGGTACACGAAATAAATATAAGTTTGACAATTATTTGTATTCAATTTATTATGGCTTTCGCTTTACTTAGGAATATACAGAAATCAAAATTTGGTTCACAAAATCGAGTCTTTTTATCTTCTTGCTAAAATTTAAACTGGAGCAAGTGAGTAGTGACAAATTTTGTTTGTATGTGAATTAGTAGAATGGGTGTGAGAGCGTAGCCCCTGAGGTTCTGTGAGACCTTGGTAGCCTCCCAAAATGTCAGCTTTAGTTGTGCTCAGGGGTAAAGGGAGACAATAAGTACTGAAAGGTTTGAAAAGAAACAATTTTTTTCTGGGATTTATTTTACTTTTGTGTAAATACAAGCCCTCTCCTTAAATCCAGGTCCAAGTGTGCCACTTGGTGTGTGTTCAAGGCGTTTTTTTTTGTGTGCGTTTCAAACACTGTTTAATGGCGTTTACACCTAAATTTGATAGAATGACAAAAATATGCTACAAGAACATAAGTGAAAGCAGTGGCGTGTTGAACTAATTTTTGGTGAAGAGCAAAAATGTATATACCATGAGGTACCCTTTATTCATCCTAACGGAATTTCCACCATAATTAAACGTTTACAATTTAAAAAATATACGTATATTAGACTGATTTGTATAATCAGATGTATTTACTTAATTATCTAGTAAATTTATTACACTCATTAATTATCTTGTATCTTGATCTATGTAGTGTATGTGAATTTTGAATAATGTTGTTAACATTGGTATTGCAATTAGTTAGCACCAATTGTTTCTAGTGTAACGGATCATATACAGTACATTTGTGCGCCAAATATTTACTATTACTTAAAAAATTTAATATGATGTTATGATGTATCTATATTATTGTTATACTTATTGTTAAGTATTTTTTGGCAGGGGGGCCACCCACCTACTAAACATTTCGAAGGAGCAATTGCTCCAAAATAATATCATCACCACGCCACTGAGTGAAAGGACGTCGAGTATGTTCCTGGTGACATATGGCTATGAAAGGTTCAAAAGTGCCTTAAAGACAGAGGCTAAAATATATACTTTTTCGTACTGCACACTTAAGGATTTTGTCATACTACCCTTTTAAAAATATGTAAAATTCAAATTTTTAATTTCGTACTATACAAAGTGTACTGCACACAATTTTAGTTCCTGCTAAGACTACCTAGTTCAGTAACTCACATACGGGAATCCAGATTATCACAACCGAGCATCGCGCCACGACGTGATGGTGATCGGTTACCAAAAAAAGTGATGGTATGCTTGAACCATAAACCAAATTCGTTTGTCATAATTTACCTGGAGTAAATTATCTCCAAACGAATTACGTACTTAATGTGTATCAAAAATTTGTTTTGTTCTGTACTTTTATCTCAATATTACATCTCATGATTATTGATTTGTATATAATTTGTAGTCACATAAAAACAAACAGGATTAAGGTGATATCATCGATTATATATTATATAAACCATACATTTCACCTACACCGACATTCAAGTTAAAAACTCCAATAAATCGTAAAGCTATATTTACCAATAATGAGCACGATTGTGTAAATCATATACGTATTAAAATTAATTGATTAAATTTAAATAAAGGAATATTAAGATATTGATAGTTAACAATTTCAGACATTTATCACCGAAAGAATGTTTTAAGTCTGGTATTTCCACATCGATGAAGCTCAAAATAAAATGTGTAACAACGTTTTTACAAATTTTATAATTTTCATAACAAACTTATATTATTCTCGAATAATTGCTTTTTTGAGTTATTGCAATTTTCAGGCTTTAATAATTGTATAAGATAACTCACCGTCATTAGGTAAGCTGTAATATGGCTGAATTTAATTAATAAAATATTATTAACGATTGCCGGCCAGCTAAATAAATTTTCTACACAAAAATCTGAAAAAATGTAAGACTCAACTAGTAAATTTTGAGTTATTTTTAGATAGTTGGCCAACTTCGTATTTCAACCATAAGCACGCGTCAGGTATTAATAAGATGATACATAACAAAGCACAAAAACAAACATATCGATACAACAAATGGACGTTCACAATAGGCGAGCTGCAAATGACGTTTTTTGAATTATGTATTTTTTTATTATGTTTATTAAAAATCTGTTTAGATTTCAATCCGTTAATATGGAACCACGTGTTGTATAAAGAAAATTGTACAAACCGAAGCAAGATTTTCGGTCATACCAAAAATACTATGAAAAATCGATTTTGAAATTGAAATAGAAGAAGAAAATAGTCGCTCAGCTCTTGGAATGATCGTGCTTACACACACACACACACACCATTAGTATACACACACACAAACAAGAAATTTGACTCACTGATGCAGAGTCGTCTCGGCGGGGGACCGTTCGTGGTTGCACAATGCGCACTCGTTCGCTGCGTCCGCGAAAATCTCAACTACGCTACATCCATTACTACCCGGAGTTGCACGCACTTCGGCACGGTGCAGTGCGCAACCGTTTAACGAGGTTTCGTCAGACGAACGAGCCGAGGGCTTGAAAATTTTTATAAAACTTCCGAGACGGTTGTCCTCGGATTTTTTCCCGTTTTGCAGTTCCGTTGCTGCCGGACATTTATGTTTGCACGTGCAGGGACAGGGACTATAAGACACACGAAAACAATAAGAGAAAATCAAAACGGAAATACCGTAAGCGCTGCGCATCCCTCGCTCGATCGCGCTTTTGTGACACATTTCGACGGTGTACAGAGTTTTAAAAAGGCGTAGGTTTTGAGATTCGTAAATACATACTAGTCTATACATACAGTCCCGTTTCTCTCCTAATCTTAAATTTTAGGCTTCCGATTGATTACTCAATCTCAACTTAATGCTTCAATACCGATTTTTAATAATACTCGTTACTTTATAATCAATGAGATATAAGTCATTCAGTGAACTTTAATAAAAAATAAAATGTTATTTAATTTAAGATAAATTTGTCCAACTTATCAATTTCAATAGAGAAAGGTAGATTGTTTATTTTGGAATTTTAATCAGATCATTTCAGTATACGACGGGAACGATTGAACGATTTCGTGAGTCATTAAAAAAAGCATCTATGAAGTGCCTATGGGTTATATATTTCTATTATCTATAGAATGGCACATTATACTCGCACATGTCATGTGTTATCATTTTAAAAGGCATTTATAACTTTCAAATTACTGTGAACACTTGCAACTCGATAACGTGGTCATTAGATTATTTATTCGGATTTTTCCGAATAAAATACATGATTTATGCATTTTCTTCTAACGCGAGCAAATAAAATTCCAAAAGGAACGTAACGAAAAAATAAATACATTAACATTGAACAGTACATTGAATATTAAGTCCACTTACGTTATTTTAGTTGGTTGACCTCCCATCTCGGTGGTCTTCGATTTGATAAAAAAAAAAAAAAATTTAGATAAATACGAAAAAAAAAAATCACCAAATTAATACGACTTTAAACAGTCAACAGAAAAAAAATGCGTTGAAACCAATAATGTTCCTCGAGCGTAATCGATGCGATTAGAATAAATATTAATATTTTTCGGTCAAAACGTCTGCTACGACTGAACCATGGTCCGAGCGCAGTGCTGTACTGATGCCGTCGCGAATAAGTAATAACGCATGTAAAAATAAACAATAATAATTGTATTCGTCTGTATAATATATTAATCGTCGTACTATTGAAACGTCGCAACTGGGGCACTGGAATGAATTAATATTATAAAACAGGTCCGTTTCGACCGACGAAATTCGACGATCATCTTAACGATAACGCGAAAAGCCCGTGGGAACACTGAGCTATAATTATATATTCTATATATATATATATATATATATATATAATATTTTTTTGTTTTTATTTCGTTATCATCGGCGAAAGAAAAGCATGTAGACGACCGACTCGTACTGGGGATAACCGAAAACGTGATTAGCATGCACACGGGCCACATATAGTGCACGCGGCGTAAATACCTAATATAATGCACAGTTAACATAGTTCGTACATCGAGTTCCATGGACAAGGGCTGTGTATAAAGTGCAAGCGTTTTCTATGGGTATTTTGATTATTGTTTAATTTTAATTTGAAACCATTTTAAAAATATAGGTATATACGTATAGTTAACAACAAAAATGAGCTATTTATTTATAAAAAATATATATAAAATAGGTACCATTATTCATCAATGACGATTGACGAATTTTATAATAATTATTAATATATCAATAAATTATAATACTTGACTTTGTAAAATAGCTTAGTCCCAAGGGGGGGCTAATGCCACCTTAGCCACTCCCTTAAACTCGCCCCGGTCTATATGAACCATGTAACGGCTAAAGCCGTTTGAAGTATAGCGTTTCATAATAATATCTTGTTCTATGCTATGATCAACGGTAATATAGAAACACTTCTGTGTTTCCAGCTTATGAAAATCAAATTCTTCTAAAAATTGTGATTGCTTCCCATTGAACACTTCACGAAACTTTCGGCCAATAACCTCTATTTTTACAGCAGCGTTGTTAAAAACTATAGAAATACACAACAATTGTTCATCGACAGTGGTTAGAAAAATGCTACAACTAGAATTACCAATGATTTAATGCTTTAACTTTTTCAAATTAAAATGTTGTCGGGCTTAAGTGTTTCGTACAGAAATCGGCGGTCGCATATACAATTTGAAAGACCTTGTAAAATACAAATCGTTAAAGTATTATGTTTACGTGAACAACTATTAATTTTTTATGAATGTTGTACAGATGAACGCAAATATATAATATCCAACAACAGCGATAACTAATAATAAACACAATTTTAACGCTAAATATAAGTGTACAACAATGATTCACCTTGCCAAGATGAAATCATTCATCAACCTAGAACGCAACCGTACTTTAGATATTCTTATCAGATATTGCATTATTGCATAAATGTGTAAAAATATTGAACTGTTAATTATATAAATATAACTATACATGCTCCATATTCTATAACATTGATTAATTTTTAATTATTTGTAGATCATGATTCATGATAAGCGTTTTATATTGCTTATAGCTTATTACTTATAAATTATTAATATATTCAAGTATTATGCCTCGATTACATTAAACGAATTTACTCACTGCTACTAAATTCGTTGACAAACGTTATTTCTTGTTTTGCTAGAAACCTAATTATAATTTTTTAGATTTTTTCGAATCGTATTATACATATTAAAACCTGTGAGTGTGACAACCCTACAATCTAGAAGGCGCGTTGCTTCAGTTCTGCCTCAGGATAAAAAATGGCTCGGTACGGCTTTGTCTATTATATTTTATAGCAGCGAGTAAATTCGCCCAATGTATTCGAGGTTTTAGTCACTAAAGTTTAGTGTATTTTAAATTTCAACCTTACATAATACATTTTTTTTGTCTTTATTCTACATAAACAATCTATATCAGTGATTTTTATCCTTTTTTCGTTCATGTCGCCTTTAGCCACTATAATCAAACACCACGTCGCCTTAACATCAAAATAATAAACAATTTTAACTATATAATTTTAGAACTATTCTTGAAATAACAAAAAAATACAGTACGCAGAAAAATAATAAGTACACTTAAAATGTATTGAGTTGCAGGTTTCAGCAAACATTGACACTTTAAAGTTTAAATTTTCAAATAAAAATAAAAAAATAGAGAGAAAAAATAATAGTGGTTTGTATAATCAGTTGAGGATATTTTAAATTAAAATATTTGTTTAGTGTTATTCCATAAACTATACCATATTATCAAATAGAGAGAAACTTGTTAATTTTTTTTCGAAGCTATCTCTTTTTTGCTTAGCTAGAATTTTTTTAAAGAATTTGCTAGTCTATTATAGGTACTATTATGAGAAGTATGTTGTGTTTATTGATGATGCGCTTTTGCTCTTCATTTTTCAACAATTAGAGAGCGTATTTGTTCAGGGAGAAAGGATTATTTATACATTGAGGGCTGAGAAACACTTATAGTATTCGATTAACTAGTCGCCGAATAAAAGAGGATGGTATTTAGGTTATTGATTGCTTCTTCGATGTCTTGATCAGTTTTTAGCCTAATTTTTATATTTATATTTTGGTCAACTAAATTGTGGAATTCATAGCGATCAGTCGTTGATGAAATAGAAGATCCTACCGTTATCTAGTTGTGGCGTAACAGTAATATTTAGAATGACGGATGAATGGACAGAGTTTAAATCAAATCTATTATTTACTGAACAGTGTAAATTACAAGGATTTTTTTTTGTGAGAAAAATATTTTGAATGTCTGGTTTATTCTTTAGGAATTTTAAATAATAAATTATTTTTTACAATTAAAATTATATGATAATTAAAAGCAAAGACTTTGATGGGAGTTTTTTTTATGCTAACACATTAAAGCCTATTTACAGACGACGGTTTCGTCCGTACGAATTTCAATTTGTAGTAAACAAATGAAAGTAATTGGAGCTTTCACATGAGACGGTGGACGGATTTTTTTCCATACAGTCACCGTGTTAACGGTTGAAATGTAAGGCAACGAAAAGGCATCGTCTTATCAGTGATGTACATGAATTAGCACACGCTTCCACAAAAGACGATTTTTATTCATCTACCGTGTCGTTGTCAAAGTTGTTCGGTATCACTTTTTGTAATAAAAATACATAGTTATTGACACAGAAATGTTAATCTCTACCATGAAATGCAGTCGTATCTTATGGGATAAGTTTCTAGATATTTATAAACATAGAAATGGAACCAAAATAGTTTGGGGCAAAGTGTGTATTTATTAACTGAGCGTAACCAGTAAATACGATTGTTACGTCATTTTTCACGTAATCGCAAACGGTTAGTGACATGGAAATGGTGCGATTTCGATTCATGTTGAAAGTTAAAAAATAAAATATAACCAAATGTAGACGACTCGAGGGAAAAACCGACGTGTGTGAAAACAACGTTCGTTTAGAAAAAAATCGTACGGATGAAATTATCATGTGTGAAACGGGACATACACGAAGTATGGTTTAGAAAATTTAGCCAACAGCTAATTTATAATCCCAGCACAACCATTAAAGAAAACATTTAAGTGTATACAAAACCTTTATAATTATTCACACTTGGTACAATATTCACGTAATAATTTCAAGTCGACGGTGAGCACTATTGATCCGATTATGTAACTTATAACTTTGTAAATCGAATAAACTTCAATAAAGTTTTGTTCTGATCCTGAGATTTAACAAGTGAAAAGCAGTGGCGTAATTATGGAGAGGGGGAGATAAGGGGATACATCCCCCAAGACATTTTTTTTAGAATAACTATAATTAAATTCTCGTAAACACTAAGCTTTAAAAGATTTTAATATAAGAAATAAGAATTCATGGATATTATCATAGTTGAGATTTTTTTTTATTTTACTAATATAAAACTACGATAGCTCAACAATTATAATATATGCTAAAAAAATTGTATAGCTCATAGTTAAAATATAACACTGATAAATCTATAATTTACGACTCTCGTTTAGTGTTTAAAGCATGCAATATTTCATAAAAACGTGAAACATTGAAATTTTTTCTAATACAAATATTAATGTTAGTTATTTATTAATTATTTATTATATAATTTAAAAGTTCTTATTAAAATCAATGATATTAATGGAATGAGTACAGTGGTTGACATATTATAACTATAGTAACTATATATATATTTGGGTCTTGTTTTCGGCTATTATAGCAAAACTTGGTTTATTTTTTCAGGAAATTGCTTATCGATGACATCGACAAACAATGTATATTCTATTCAGTGATAGAAGGTATTAACTATTTTCGAATATTATATTACTGTAAACGATGAGCAACAGTGCAACACCAATGTCTATTATTATTTAAATTTTAATAAAACGAGTAATAAAATAATATTATTTTTTCTTTAACTATGGATGTATATCCATTGTGTGATAGTGTAAATGTAATATATTACTAAATTACATATTAAATTATTAAATTAAAAGACAGTCGAATGCCTTTATTTCTTTTCTTTAAAAAAAAAGTTAAAGAAACTGATCAAGAAAATAGCCTGTCAAAATGTGATTCAGATCAAGACCAACCTAGCAAAGAATTTGTGGTAGTAAATTTGAACTATTTTTTGAATGTATTTTTTTGAAATGTAATTATTATGGCATACCTATGTCCATAAATTTAAAAATCAATAACACAAGGATATTTTCTTAGGAAAAACATAAAGAATTAGATTAATCTACATCAATGATTTCTGTGAAACAACCTGTAAGTACTAAGTTAGGAAAAGTTAATGATTAAAAATTAACATTTTTACAATCATCATTATATTATACCATTTGCCTCATTTAATTTATAATAATAAATTAATATAATATTGAAATATATGAGATTTAATAGTTAAGGAGGGTGTAGGGGGCATAGCCCCACTAGAACGATAGTATAAACTTATATCCCAATCCCACCCCAGAACCAATTAACGTAATTCCAAATAACACCACCGGCGAAAAAGGTTTACTAAGATATTGCAGTATATATTGATGTTATTTTGTATATTTGAACACTGATTCATTATCACATACAATAACGATAAAATTAATTTTTAAATTTACTTCATTTCACCTCAAGTTATTGTTTTAAATATTTTGAAACTTTCTAATAAGCATAAAAAACTTCTTATAAGTTAAAAAATCTTAAGATGCAAAATATAAATTAAATTAATAAAACACTATAAACACATTTTTACTCATAAAACACAATTTTTAGGAAAAATTAAAAAAAAAAAAAAAACCAACTAAAATGTATTTAAATCGTAAATTGATCGTTACAAATCAATTGTGTAACATTCTCGTATTATTACACGGCGCATTGTGTATGCAATCGAATACCAAGAATTATTTGACAGCAATAAAAATGTATATTATTTAATTATTATTATGATTTTTATTTATTATTGATATTTCTGACATTATTAAGAAAATAATTATTAATTAATAAATAAATGGTATTATTAAAGAATCTTATTAATGACATAGATTGTTAAGCGATGATTTGTTGATAAGTATCGCTCCAAATTATTATTTTTTATTATACTGGGATTTATTTTTCCATTTTTCCATTCGTTTTCTTGGTAAGTTTATAAGTATGTATTTTCATAACTAACAATATAAGATCATATAACTCTATATTAATTTCTCAGGATTTTACTTTATAATATTCCATCATTTCGAGGAAAATAATATAGGAAAAAAGTACATAGAAAAAATAAAAACAATCCTGTACATAATATTATTTTATTTTAAGAACTGCTGTGTTCGATACATGTTGTACACATGAACATTGTTAAGTAGTCTACTGTAACAATAAATATATGTAAATCAGTAGACAGGAAAATAACAGTTATTGAAAATTAAAAAATAAAAACCGTTGTCACGGCGCTATGCGATGGTTAACCTGGGTAATGAGTTGGATCGATTATTTACGGTTTTATAGTATGCCTTATAGCTACGCGCAGTATATGACTGTTTACGTTCGTAAAGATATATATTTTTCGTCATTTGAAAATTGGATAGTTTTCTTATAGCTACCACTACTGAATCGGCTACAATAACGCAAAATATGGCTCCTAAAAAGAATAAGAAAGGTAACAAATTGGCACGGATGAGTGACGAAGAAAAATTGAGATATCTACAGCACCGGGCAGCAGTTGAGGAAGAGACGAAACGACGGAAAGAACATCTGGTCGCCACGTATTTGAAGGTAATAAATAATTTGTATTTAATGAATATAGTAAACGAGTGTTAAACGAAAAAAAATCATATTTAGATAGAAATGTTTTACTAAGAGTAAATCGTGCAAAGGTTTTTTAACCGAGTTTTGAAAATGTTCAAACTAATTATATTCTGTATTTATTCATAACTGATAAATTGTGTAGATAATATTTTAAATTCTTAAAAAAATGTTCATTTCTATAAAGATTATATTTTTGAAATTTTAATTTACCTTTCAATACTGCCATGAAAAACATTTTTCAAATGATTTCTAATTAAAACATGTTAACTGTAGCTTTAGACATTAAAAGTTAATTCTATTCTTATAATATGGTAGAGAAAACCACTATTTTAATCACAATCATATGTATATATATATTTCATTATATAATTGTTCGGTAAATACAAACATGGTATATTTTTTTACTGGCATGGGCATGGGCTTACTAAAAAGTATTGACTAGCATAAAAAAAACAAGTACGTTCTTTAATTATTTATACTGATTTGTCTGTATGGTTTTTATTGGTATTATAACCAATAGAATAAGTTGAAAAGAGAAGAAGCGTTCACGCGGCTAAACAACGCTAAACTAAATCAGCAATGGCGTCACAATTTGCGACAAATCAAGTGCAAGGAACTGAAAGACGAAATGATGGTAAGTTCATCATAATTGGTATTAGTTTAATGGATATTCGAACACAAGGTATGATAAATGAATTAATCGAAAATTCGTCTATTTTTTCTCACAGACGATGGAAAACAGATTTGAAATTTTGCTGGATTGCAAGAACAACCATATAGACATGTTACTGAAAGATTTGGAAGATGCCGAAGAACAAAATCTGAAACAATATGGGGCACACGCTGAAATTATATCTCAGTTCTTAAGTACCGAATTTATTAATCAATTAATCGAATTTATAATATCAAACTTTTATTTTCTCCAAAATATAAATTGTTTTCTAAGTAAATAAATTGTTAAAAGGAATCACCAGTTATTTAGTAAATTTAGTTAATTATTAACTAGTAATAGAAATAATGTTGTTTTTGAACAAGTTCCACGACATCGGACATACATTCTCTATTACGTTTTCATAATTTATAATATTTTATTTTTGTCTGAATTCTTCAATCGTTCAACCATTACCTAATGTTTGTCGCAATTAGTATGCAGTGACTTTCATTCCTCAATGAACGTCTTTATGCTTAAGAAAATAAATAAATATCAAATATTAAAAATCGGACTGATCATTGGCCGACGATAGTCACTGAAATTCAATCACTGCTTGTCTTTGATTTTTCACTGTCTTTTAAATTTTGATTTATCGCAATTTTGAACTGTTTCCAAATCTTACTTATACATATTGTACACGATGCACATTACTGGTCCACTAATAAATGGAGTTCGATGATTATTGATTTTTAAAGGTACGCATAAAACATCACTAGAAGAACTCCACGATCGTTATGAAAACAAAAAGCAATTGCTAATAGACGAATTGAAATACAACTTTAGTCGGATGAGGGACATATTCAACCGGGACAACGAGCGGCTGGAGCTCATGTCCCTTACTTTCGAGGCACGTAATGATGACGACACGCAGCAAATACACACTAACTTTGAAGACTCCATTGCTGTTCTAAATAACGAGGTATTTCGGTTGATCGAGAATATTGTATTTTACATTGGTGTGATGTTGAGGAAAATCCGTTGTATGATTAATTAATTAATTATATTTGCTTTTTGGAGGGGAAGGGAAAGAATATACATGATCATTAGAGATGAACTATGTTCACAGATGCTTTTCGAGAAGGACCGTTTCACAAAAATACGTTTCGCAGAAATGCAAATAACTGTGAAGAAGTTGCAAAAAGTCCTAGACGATTACAGTGATGAAACTGAATCAAAAAAGAATCATTACAACTATTTGAAAATGCGAGACGAAGACAATACAGCGTCTATCGAGGAAAATAATAAGCGAATCCGTGAATATTCTGTAAGTTAATTAAAAAAACATTTCTTTGTTAATAATAATATTTACAAACTTATTAGGGAAGGAATTTTAATGCTCTGATAGTCCATGAAAAATATTTTATTAAAAGTGCATTTATAGTCATTTTAAATTTAGAAACGCGCCCTTTATCGTAGCACTATATTTGTAATAAATATAGCACATCCTTCATTGAAATGTATTCAGATTATATTATTCTATATTTCTATTGACGTTTGTTTTATATCTAGGAAGAAATCAAAATGTTGACACATTTGTGCGCCAAACGTGAAGTTCAATATGCACAACGAGAAAATGATTTGAAACGGGAGCGCGAGGATCTTATAAAACGTGGTTTCGATGCACAGAATCGACTTAACGTCAATCAAAACGAATATCAGAAAAAACTTGAAGCTATGACAAAAATATATAAAAAGGCTATTGATGTAAGACTGAAATTGTATTCTGGTAGATCTGGGATGACTGGACAAACCTAATGGGATTTTATTTATGGAAAAGTGTGGAGGGAAGGGGATGGACCAAAGCTTGGAATATGCTAATATAATGCCGTTGAAATTACGAAAATAATTATTTCCAAAATGTAACGTACAAATACTGTTCAACACTAAGTGTTGTATCACGGCGATTAATAATAGTTAATAGTTTTAACAAGAAAAGTCGTCAACTATTTCGAGTACCTAAAAAAACTTGTCGGTTATGTATAAAATAATCAAAATTAAAGTAGGCACCAACTCACATTTTCTCAAATTTTATAAGAAATTTACACCTGGGAAAAAGGCAATGCTGCAGTTCGGCTACCATTTCGTAATAGGTACCTACCAAATAGTAAATCGCATCGGGATGAGATTTCGAAGACTAATTACATATACACCACGTAGACGACTAAAATTAAAGTGGTATCCATATGACAACACGGAGAAATATTCGATAATTAATGGTTAGACGGAAACAATTAAAAATGTAATTACATTATGACATATACAGACGGATATAAAATATAATCGGACCGCATACATATGAAGTTTAAAATTTAGCAAAATAAAGTAGGTAGTGGCATTTTCATTTATCCTAACTTAGAAAATTTTTTTTTTTTTTTAATGGCGTGAACAATCATTAGTTATTTTTTTGGTAAATTCTGTTTTCAATACATTTTTTATAACCCCACAAAATAATGTAATACTATTGCACTAATTTAAACATAAAATGATTTAAACATTCAACAACTATATAGGTTTGATATTTTATTTGTATGTTCATCAACATTTTACTATAAAAAATTACATTAAAATGATATAGACACTTAAAAATCCAAAATACGTTTAAAAAAATGTATAACAATGAAAAATAATGGTAAAAAAGTTTGCAAAAGGGTTTTCATTTTTAATTAAATTAAAAAAAAAACAAGTATAATAATTCGAAAAATTATTTATGTGTTTATGTATTCTTATCACCCATTCCGAGATTCTTACACTTTGAAAAATCCATGTTTTTCACCATTGCTGTAGATCGCATATAATATACTCTGGTTAATGTTGCTATGTTAATTTTACATAATAAACTTCGGTTATCAATATATATATATATTTATATGAATTTAAAATTTTAAAAGTAGAAATATTTAATCTCATCCACTTCCCAACGAAGGTTTTATCAGAGATGATCAATCCTCAGTGAATATACAGACTTGTGCTTACATAAAAATTAATTTTTTTTGTTAATGGTTCATCAGCACGATAAATGAATACGAATCTATTTCATAACGCGTTATTTTAAATGGCAACAATAACAATATTATAAAAACAGATATGAAAATAAAATAATTAAAACAATCAAAAGAACACTTAGGACGGTTATAACTATAATAAAAAAATAAATATATTTTTATATAGGTACATATATATGTGACTACTGATTAAAACAACAGTTATTATATTTTTTTTTGCGTTTGAAGTTTTGAATATGAATAAACGGTACACTTGCGACACACACGAGCAATTTTAACAATGTTCATAGCTTTATACATAAACATATTAGAGGGATAATTATTTAGTTATGGAAATTTCTAAATAAACACGTCAGTTAAATTCGAAGTTATACTAGTTGTAGACAAAAAATAAGATAATTCTTATCCGATTCCAGAAACTAACGAGTATTGTTGAAAAAGGTGAACGAATAATTAAAACTGCAGACAATTGCTCCAAGCTAATGGTAGACGATGACGACGACATAATGCTTAATGACGAATACGAGAAAGATCGAGTAAGTTTTAAAAGCAATTATTAAAACTATTACTATTGATATACCTATTTTTCCTGCATTTTTAGGAGTTCGATAAAATGTCGAAATTCTGGAAGCGTTATGCACGGGCTGAAGTGCAATGTCAAGAACTTGACATCAAACGTACGAAACTGCTGCAGGAGAATAAAGATTTAAAAGCCGCATTGGCGTATTATTTGAAAACCGTTGCTAGACCTGCATCGGTCCAAAGAGATATGAGGGACAGCGGAATACAATTGAATTTACTTCCGGTCAAAGCGGGGTGAATACTGTGGAATTAACTTACATCGATTTATCCTAATAAACTTGCAATCGAAGGAATAAAATAACGGCTGGAAATGTTTTTAATTTACTTTTAATCCACTAATTTATATTGTGTTCAATTTTATATTTTAATATTTTCACTTTTTATAATTTTGGAAAAAAATTTACTATAACGATTTTGATACTCATGTTTTAAATCAGTAACAATAAATTCAATTGTTTACCATAATCTAATTAATTTTTAACCATGGGTGTATTATTATTTATTTATTTGACTATATTTACTTATTTTTTTTATTTTGAAACATCTGATATATTTTCTGATACAATGTATAATACCACTATACTGACTTTGTGTTATTGACTTGGGACTGACAGGTGATATTAGATACAATTTTTGTTCTCCCATGACTTTCCTCAATACTGGCGGATAGCATGATTTATATTTTTCATAGCATAAACACTTTTTAAAAAAATGCATAAAATATTAAGTACCTATTTATAATTGGTACTTTCAGCAATAAGTTTCTTCTTGCTTGTATCAAACACTAAATTGTTGTAACCTGAAAATATAAATTTTGTTTTAATCAAAATAATAATCAAAATACTTAAGTATATTTTTGTTTAATCAATGAATAAGAGCAAGATAAATATATTATTTTATAATTAATAGAGTGAAGTGAGTTATTAATAAAATAAGTATACATAAAATACACAATGCTTTGTATGCTTATTACTACTTGAATATTACAATATGCACTAATAATAATTTTACTGTAATAGAACTTAATAAATTAATGAACATAAATCATTATAACATAACTTAGGAGATATATTGATGTATGACATTATACATATTATACATCGATATTTTTTTTTTTTTTTTATAAATAAAATATAAATTATTAAAATAACAAAAATGCCTTTAAATTAAAATTTTAAGTATTTAAATACATTAATAAATAACAATATTTAATTAATTTGTTTCAAAGCTTTCCTATGATAATTAAATTTTTCAGCATTTCATACCGTTAAACAACATTAAGTATTATTTTTCTTGTTATTAGTTATTTTTTTTTTAAAAAAAAAAACAATACTTTCTTTTAATTATAATTATAACAGGCAACTCTCAAAAGTATACATATATATATATATATATATATATATATAGGTATATAACATTAATACAAATATCTTTTAGGGTATTATATGAGTTTAAATAGACATCTAGAGCAAACCTTAAATATGATTATAGGATTATATTTTCTCATTAGATCTAAGCTCTAGATGTAAATATTGAATGCTTAATATTTTAATTATATAGGAAAAAAATACTTAGAGTATTTCCAAATCACAATGCCTTATTTCTGGGAATTTTGAACGAAGTTTGTATTCTATTCTATCAATCTCTCCACCAATCATATCTATGATATTTTCACTGTGTTTTAAAAGTAATGCTTCAGCACAATCTGCATTATCAATTGCTTTCACTTCTGCCATCAATGCTTCAGGATCTAGCCGGTCTAAATATTGTTTAGCCAATTCTCTTCCATCAAAATCTAATTCAGCCTTATATCTGATCAAACTGTTTCCCATATCAATTCCTTTGACGTCATATATAGCTCTAATCATAACATCAGATTCCAACTCAGCATTGATTTTATTTAAATATGTCTGACTAATAGAACGGCCAACAATAGCTGATGTATTTGTATAAATTATAAATGAAGCAACTGTGCCTAAAATTCCACCAACAAGTAATGATCCAACAGCATCTGGAACTGGAGTATTTAAGTAAGAAGTTAATGACATACATACAGCAGCCACTCCAATAGACAACACAGCAGCACAATCTTCTAATAAAACAACATTGACAGTAGGATCGTGACCACGCAAAACATATTGTAAAAAGGAAATGTTTGCTTGTTTAGAACATTTAATAATGTTATTAATAGCAACTGCCAATGTTGCTCCTTCAGATAGAAATGATCCACCAAGTACAAAGTACGCCCAAAATAAAGAGTCTAATGGTTCAGCATGAATAAGTCCTGTTACACCATGGTAAATAGAAAGTCCTGAACCAATACAAAAGATTCCTACACCAGATATAAGAGAAGCAACATATTTCATATTTGAATATCCATACGGGTGATATGAATCTGCTATTTGGACAGATTTATAGACACCAAAAGCTAAAATCACTTGATTAATAGTATCAGCCATAGAATGTATACATTCTGAGAACATACTGTGACTTCCTGTATAGAACCAAGCTAAACCTTTGAAAATAGTATTCATACCATTTATAAAAACCGCAATTAAGACAACACGACCAGATTCACCGAATAGGCCTGATGACTTTTGTGTTAAGAGATCATTTTTATTTAGTGTTTGTCGCCGATTGCTTCTTCTGTGTGCTTTAATTGTAAACATTGTTTGTTGTTTCTTTTTCCTTTCAATTTCTCTTTTAATGAGTTCAGTTACTAACTCTTCTTGAGACCCCCAAACTTCAGATGCTTTAGCTACAACATCTTTTCGCCAATACACATTTATTGGTGGCTCATCATCAAATGGAGATCGCCGTTTAATAGTTTTAAGGCCTTCCAAATCAGTAGATTTTAACATGAATTCAGTCATAGCACGGCGAGCAGTAATATAATTTCGATCCACAGATTTTTTAGGTCTTTGAACTTTTTCAACTACTTTTTCTAAATTTACTTTTTCTAAAACTTGTTTCACAGGTATACTTTTTAACAATGGATCATTTTCTTCTTTAGATTTTGGTTTTCCATTATCATCATTATTAGAATCATTTTTAATAGAAGCATAACATCGGATTGGCCATAGTTGATTTTTTGCCATACAAATTTCTTTAGTTTGGTATTGAGAAACATAATGAGACAATTTTCTAAAAAGTACATGATCATTTTTCATGGTTAATAATAGGCATTTGCATGGCATACCAAGATTCTTGTAAAATAGAGTCATTTTGTTCCTAAAAATAAAGTAAACTAATTATAATAAATATTTAACCTATATACATATATACATATATTTTTGGTTTTACATAAGAAATTGAAAAATTTGAGAAAATCATGTTTTAAAATTATTTGTTGTATTTTTTTCAATGCATTTCAACTAGAAAACTTTAAAACATTTTTTCATAATTTCTGTATTAAGTTGAAAACTATGTTATTTAACATTTATAATAAAAATAAAAATACTACTTATAAAATGTATAAGAAATCAGTAATTACTTTATCTAATTTTGTTGATATTACAATTTGAATATGATTATTAGGCCAATCTATGATTATAAGTAAAATGAATAATTTACATGACTTATCTTGAATATTTCAATAAATTGTCAGTAGTTTATACACAAGTCAATAGCAATTAAGTCTAAGATCAATATATAATTATAATATCATAGTTTTGTATTAGAAGCTCTCTTATAATTTGATATTTCACAAGATATATAAAAATTATTTTTTTTTAGTTATTAAAAGTAATAAAATAATACAAATAATCTATGAATCAAAATTTCTATTGACAGTTAATATTTTAATTATAAATATAAAAAAAACTCATATTACCTTATTCCTTCTGTAACAAAAGATTACTTTTAATGAATGTTGATCTGATTTTGAATAATTATGAATACTGCTAATAATCTATAAAAAATATTATATTGTTTAAGATTTTAGATTTTATTTTATTTTATTTACAACATTATATCATAGGAGTTAAAAAAAAAAAAATTAAACTAATTTTAAAAGTGCAAATAATTGGAATGAAAAGTTTAGTTCCCAAGCTATTTTTAGAATTTTGTTTTCAAATTGAGTATTTTTACTCGTATAATAAGATGGTACTTTAAAATAAAATCGGTTGAACCTTCTTTTGAAGTTATGGTCAAAAACGTATTATCATATTAAGTATACATACGGATAAAACACATTATGCATGTTCAACATGTTAAACTCAAAGTATCAAGTAAGCCAAATATATTAAACAGCTTACTACACGGTCACACATAAATATTAAATGAAAATAAAATCTAATTATATATATATACATAAATGTAAAATTATAAATAAAACTTATTCGATTAAAGTTCATCAAAAAATAAGACATAATAATGTAAACCAAATAATACATTCTTAAAGAATTTAAGGTAGTTGCCACACGAAAATAATAATTTATAATTTTTTTATTTTGCCAATTAATAATGGAAGCTGCAATCTACAATAACATTAGCCACGGGCAGCAGGTTAGACATGCCTGATGTAAGTTATATAATTAAAACTAATCCACAAATCTATTTCCTGTGTAACATGGGTACATTTCGGTTTGGTAATAGTCAACTGTACATATATTAACAAAGCAACCATCTTCACTGGTAAAGCTTATTTAGGGGAGGAGTTTGACCTCCTTTATTTTGAAAGTACTATCTTATAATATATGCAAAAACTCACAAATTGAAAAAAAATTAGCTAAAAATAGCTTGGGAGCTAAACTGTATATATGCCAAATAATTATTCAGAATTGACAGTATAATATTAATCAATTTTATAATAGTTAAAAAAAAAAAAAATAAAACATATTGAACTAAAAATCAAAATTATTTTCTTATTAGAGATATTATTGAATAAAGCTTAAATTATCTGATTTCATTAATAATATCAAAAATATCAAATTAAAATATAATAGTATTATAAATTTGATAATAAAATATAATAATTTTAAGGTAATATGTAATATATTATATTTAATTATTTGATAAATGCCATTAATAACCTTACATTTAATAAAATTAGTATATGTTACATAGGCGTGCGCAGACCTCTTTTTCAGAGTATGCAAAAGGTTGCCACTGCCTATCCCTGCCATGACCGAAAGTTAATTTAAGCGTTCAAAATGCTGGTAAAAATATTTACACAAATGTCTAAATAACTGTTTAAATTAAAATTTTAATGTTTTCTAAAAAAAATAAGTGACTTGATAATAATTTATTAATTGTTATAATATTCTTCATAATTTATAAATAAAATTTAAATAAATAAATAAATTTCTAACACTTACAATAGTTTGAGTAATATATTTAAATAGGGTAAATAAACAAAAACATAATCATTTAAATGAAAAAACAAAATAAATTTGTTAAGTAATTATAATTGGTTATAAAACAATTCTGTGTTCAATTGAGTTTTTAATATTACCAACAAGGGCATATTTATGGAGGGGGGCGAGGGGAACCGGGCCTCCTGAAATGAAAAACACCATTGTTAAAGATTATTATTTTTAACATGGCTATGTCTTAATGCTGGGGGTTTCCAAAAATTTGTCGCGACACTGAGAATGTTGCTTATGCGATAATTTAAAATTTTATATTTATAAAATATGTTTATTCTTTTAAGAAAATATGTGGTAAATTTTGAGTGACTAATAAAAAATTTGTTTATTACAATGTAGTTTTTATACTTATTAAAAAAAATTGAGTTTCTTATTTCTCTGATGGTGTAAAGAGTCGAGAAGTCTTATAGTGTTAAAGTAATTTTTTTTTTGTAATAGTGTTTTCTCCTTCCCTTCCACCCAAAAATCAAATACATAATCGGCCCCCCTCCGAAATGAAAACCTATATACGTCACTGATCACCAATAATGTCTTCGAGATTTTAACTTAAAGCCCTTTCTTGCTCTTTATTTGAAAGGTTAGGTACGAAAGGTACTATGTTCTTGAAGCATAGTACTTTTTAATTTCATTACCACACTAAATGCATAGGAGTAAACGGGGGGGGGGCAGGGAGAAATTGCACCCTCTGGTATTTAACATACCTTGTTTTAAAATAAGTACAAAACAGCTGGTTATAGCTATTACTATAACATTTTTTTTTAAATCTTAAATTTTCACTTATCTAACATAATGTTAGAAAATTAATAATTTTATATAATAATATGTAGGTAGTAAAGCGGCATTTAGCCTCGTACACTCTTTTTGATACATATGTAATTATATTTTTGCCCCCCCTAATAAATTTCCAAATTACGCCTATGATTAAATGCTTACTATAGTATAAAATGTGTGTTTCAAAATAAATAAAAATGTCCAAGATTGAATATAAAAATATAGTAAATATAAAACTTTACTACAAAATATAAATAATAAAAATTAAATATAAATTTTTACTACAAATATAGTAAAAATCATAATGTAAATACAAAATCACATAATATACATTTAATAACCAAATACGCTAAGATATTTATTTATTTTACACATTTTTAGAAAAAAAGGGTCCATGTTTAGCTGCATACCCCCTGCGTATGCCTATAATATGTTAGCTTATTGATAGCACATAGTAAATATTTAAAAGACTACCTAGAATAAAATTATTACATTTTTATAATTAATTACTATTAAGTTTAATATGTAGCTCATATAAAAGTCAATATACTAATGAATATAAATTTATTTATATTTATATTTTTAATTTGTAAATTCAGTGTGTATTTCAAATATGAAAAATAAATAATTTAAGATTTGCAGTATTTATGAAATTATCCTAACATCATATGAATACAATAAACCATATTTTGAATTGAAAAATATTGAGTTGATTTATTTCATATTGTCCGGTCCATTCATCATTTAGAAACTAAACATTTTGTCATACCTGTTTAGTTTTCAGAATTGCTCCTCAACAATATAATATACTAATTGCAATGGTGATTTTATTATAAATTCTGAGGATGTCATACTCTTTAAATTGCAGAACAAAAAAAATTTTAACAAGCCTGGCCAATTGATTAAGGATGTAATAAACTATAGTGGGTTTTTTTGGTAATTTTACATTGTTTCTATTTTTTTGTTGAGCACAATAAACACCGAAGCAATTATAGGAACAATACAAGTCGTTTGGCAGGTCTTGTATGGATTAGATCTACCGAATTTTTAACCGGGTAAGTAGAGAAGAAAAATGTGAGCAACTGCGACAACACTTACCTGCTAATATCAATGGTTTTGAGTATTATTATTGTGATAATAAGTTATCACTCTATTGCGCTGCCGGTCTGGTGGAATAGTCCTTGTTACAATTGACGCGATGTGTGCCTTTCCGCAACTGCACCGTCGTCAATCTTCGCATCTGTAAACATGACGGCGATGGCCAACAGTCGCAGTTGTTTCGGGCAGCGATATTTGGCCGACGGTTGCCGTTCGTGTTTACAAATTTAATATCGTTACGAAACGAATTATGATGATGAAACGACCTCAAAGAAATCGTTGTAGTTTAACGATTCCACTTTTGTCGACAATGTTTGACAACAGTGGTGAACACCAGCTGAACGCTTTCAAACGGCTGATAACGGTACTGATTACGAATGCAGCAACAATCACGACCGATTGGCCATTGTCTCAGCTGTTGACAACCGAATTCCGTTATCGTTTTAACATCGTAGCAAATCGTGTTTCTTTCGTCCATGACTATTTACTACCACCGCTGACATCGGTCAACCTCATTGTGATGGAATTATAAAAGAAAAAAATCCGTTTGTTTGTTCGAGATCTTATTCAACAATAATATCCTGAAAAAAAATGTTACTAGCGAGTTGTGAGTAACCTGTACTTCGAAACAATTCTGATAATTACGTAGGTAGTCAGATCAGAGGCGGTTTGTACACAAACATCTTAACGGACCGAATCGACTACCGCTATAACTTCACGGGTGGCGTTATATTTTTTGAAGGCATTCTATCACGTTGACGAAACATATAATACACGTAACATACATAAATACTGATTGTTACGAGTAGTCTAGTGCAGTGGTTCTTAACCTTTTTTTTTTCACTGCACACTATTATATATCAAAAGTTTTCGCGGAACACTTATGCACTTTACAACAAAAACTTTGGTTACGCGCTAAGATATCCAGTTGGATTAAAACCGTACAGTTTAACCAAACATGTATCCACTTATCTACACAATTAATTGACATTAAGAGTGCGCAATCCTTACGTTACTTTTTCAGAATTAATAACTGACCTATCTCTTGAGAAAGAAAAACAGCTGGCAAAAATTCAGGATACTACGATCACTACGACTGAAATATTATGAATTACCACTAATCAGATTTTGGATGTATGCAGTCAGAATATCCTGTAATAGCAAAAGATGCAATCAACATTTTGTTATACTTTTCAACCACTTACTTATGCGAGTTAGGCTTTTTAGCATTAATAAACATAAAAAAACAAAAAATGGGAGAGGCTTCTTTCCATCAATTAGAAAATGCGTGTGTGCTTGTCTTCAATTCAACCGTGTATCGAACTTTTGTGTAAGAAACGACAAGCTCAAGTTTCTCACTAATTGTTTCAAAAATTTCTCTTTATGATATAATATTCCTTTGCTTAAATAATTAAGTTCTCAAAATATTTTTATTTTGTTTTTATATTTTTTAAAAATAAATGTAATGAAATAAAATACCTACTACTTTCAATATATTTTTAAAAGCGTAATCAGTGATTATATTTATTGAAATATTACTAATCACAAATATCAGACATTTTTCACGGCACACCTAGTCGATCTCGCAGCACACCGGTTAAGAACCACTGGTCTAGTGAACATAAATTCGAATTGTAATTTTCTTTAGGTCGGCATCATTTAATTTGCCCCGGGGCCGACTACCTAGCTTAACGCGACACTGACCCACTTACCTGAAGAAAATTGTTCTCTTATCTTTGTTCGGTATACCTCATGCAAATTTGTTTAAACGTTAATACGTTCATGATTGATCACTAAACGAGTTAACTCGTACACTAAAATTTACCAAAAGAAAATGTACCCAGTGCTGGCCCAACGGTTTTCGGTGCCCAGTGCAGAATTTTGCGGGGCCCCATAAAAATATATTAATTTATTTATTGTTTATATTTTATAACTATTTCGTATTATTATATAACTAAATATATACTATAACTGTATTTCGAACTGTCGTCGACGATAAACAATTTTACAAGTGCATGCGCGTATAATACTTCAAAGCTATGCATAATTGGTACCATCTTAATTTTCATTGATAACAACCCATTTACTGAGAAGACCACACGATTATGCGGATGGCGATTTGCGTACTGGGACTATATTATTTTTATTTATAAATTAAGTAATGATCGTAATATATAATTTGTGGGGCCCTAAGGGTGTATTTAGATATTTTTTTTTTTTTGGGGGTGAGGGGGCTGTGGTATTTTCTCCAACTGAAATTTCCCAATTTTTGGAAAATTATTATACAAAATTTACCTATAGTAGCGAAAACAAGTAACAACTATATGACGTAAAGCGATCACCGTGATAGTGTTATTGGTCGTCGCCGTCACTTCTCGGAAATTTTTTAGCTCATAGGGGTTCGTATAAAAATTGTACGGTGATTAAGGAGACGCCACAACGCATGTATATTAGTAAATCAATTCTAGGTAAAAGAAATCAAAATTACGATAATGCAGCAGTACCGTACGTCAAAATTAAGCACAAATGTACCGATCTCAATGGTATAATCGTTATGATCAAAATCGTCAGACCCTTTACAAGAATAACTTGTTCGTTGTTACTAATAATTATTTATAAAATTATATTGAACTTTAACGGTTTACATCTGATAATGAGCAGACAATAAAAAATGCCTGGATTTCGGTAAGAAGGGTTGAAGCCCTTTCAGCCCCCCCATAAATATACCCTGTGGGGCCCGGTGCGGTTGCATCGCTTGCCCCCCCTAAGGCCGGCACTGAATGTAGCGATAACTTTAAGAATTGTCAACCCAAATTTTTACTGAGACTCAAAATCCGCCTCTGAAATTGTGAATTATTTCGTTCAAGGGAAATGCAAGTATTTATAAAACAGGTTTTTTTTTCTAATATAGATCGTCGAACTGTTGGAAAAATTAAAAAACTAAATCGACACTATCGGTATGTACACATATAAAAATTATTATGTATTATTTACGGTTATTTACTGTATTTACGGTTGTGAATACAGAATAGATGACTGATGAAACAACTGTATTATACGAGATCAATTATATATAACTCATGAGTGCTGTAACTTGCAGGCATTTGTCCAAATGTTTTTTCTTATTTACTGCGTAACGTACCTATCCCCTATACGGAAGCCGAAACTTCTCATCCTCCCAGCTCCATATCCGAAAGCGATAATGTCTATTCAAGTCTGCCAGACGAATCTTCGTACCTTTGAGATGAATATAAATTGGATCCGATATAATTTCAGTTTTCATAAAAATAGTTATGATGATGAGAAAAAATATTTGTTAATTGGTCCCTTGCAATACATATTGATGTTGTTCAACTGTTGTCTTATTATCCACAATATCATGCCAGGCTTTGCTATGGACTGTTGGTCAGAGATGGATCTAGGGGGAGGGGACAGGAGATTGGCTGACCCACAATTAATATTTGTTCACTAAATTGGCCTTTTGAAAATTTCTTATATTCTTTAAGTGTGCCAACTAAAGGTTGAAATTAATACTAGATTGGGGTAAATTTCCTAGTTTCCCCCCCCCCCCTCGCCACAAATGATGTCACTGGTTTAATTGTGCAGTACCTACAGTAACATATTTCTATGCCGGACCTCAAATAAAAATCTATAAAATAAATTTTATCAATAATAATTATGAATAAATAGAAAAACACATATTATACAATCATATTGTGTTTTTTGATATAAAGTATTCATTTAATCCAGTTTTATCCCTATTAAGTGGCCTCTTGAAAGAGCCTGATCCATAGTTTTTTTATTGTAGATCGCCTTTGCTGCGGGTATATTTGTCAATTACCGATAGCGTGTTGTATATTATACCAACTTAGTGGCATTTCTTTCTTAGTATAATGTGTTAATTTCGTTAAAAAATTAAAAATTAAAAAATAGCACTTCAAATTGTTATATAGTTGTGTTAAATCTGCTTCAGAAACGGTATTTGCAACAAATATGAAAGGCTTGTTCTGGCAACTTGTATACGATGGATACTTGGGAGAGTCCAGTTAACTCATTTTGGTGTGTATGTTCAATAAGGAAAATATATATAGGCCCATGGTTATCTTTTTTGTTGTAAACTCGGCCTGAAAATTTTAGGCAATAATATAGATTGATTGTAAACTCGGCCCAGAAATTTTAACATAATAAACAAGGTCGGTTGTAAACTCATCCCGATAATTTTAACCAATAAAATATAATAAGGGCAATACACACATAACACAAGCTTGATGATAATCGAGTAACTAAATTTACAGTTTATTTAGTCGATGTATACTTGATGCTATTTTTCCGCTTGATATGTGGGCCTGTGAATTATTTTGTGCACATTTTAATTCAAGTTTCAATTCAACCCCCCCCCCCCCAATAGATATTCCGTTATCAATAAATAAAAAGAAGTACAAACAAAAACAATCGAACATCAAAATCAACAGCTTTTATGCACCATTTCAATTTTAAAAAAAAAGAACAAAAAAAAAAAACAACACTTACAAAATAATATATAAAATTTTGGTAAATGAATACATCAAATACATCGTTTTTTACTTAAAAAATAGATTTATATAATAATCCTACACTATTACACTACAATTTTACTTATATTTTTATCCTTTTTTTTAAATTGGTTTTAAATGGATCTCAAATATCATAAGAATATTTTTAATCGGGCAGAGTTTACACGTCAATCATTTTTACCTGAAAAACCCCGGGCCGAATTTACAATCACACATTGAATATGGTAAATCATTTAAAACGATTAATATAAATGAAACTAGTAAAAGAATAATAATTCTAGTATAGATATAGAAATGGGTCGACACAATATTTATAAAAATGTATATGGTCCATATTAATCATAATTAAAGGAACAGGGAGACCCGAAGGATATCCGTGACAGAGTCCTTTTTTGGATAGTGAGACGATATTTAGCCATTCTAATATTTTAGAAATTATATAATATAGCTCTGGAAATAGTTTTGGGATTCTTTGTGCCTCGATGGGTATTTCGTGTAGCCAATTAGAGTAGAATTGCCTAGAGGGAATTACTGTGGTGAGGGGGTAAAAATTGATAAACTGATAAATAATTAATTACATTTACAAAAGTTCATAAAACCTATTTTCCATTTTACGCTCGTTTTTGAAAAATCGAGATCGTAAACTTTATATCGTCAATAATGTTTATGTGATGTGAGAAAGAATATATTTCTAGTTCATGGGTGGAGTTGAAACTATACCTATAAGTAAGATCATGGATTGGCAGTATCGACTCGATTTTTCCTGATTTTTAAATGTTGTCACAAACTCTTCATCACGTTAGCATCTGATAGTTAT